GAGCTGGAAGATGAGAACTGGCGACTTTGTAGTACAACTTTAGTACGTGGAGTATCTGGGGAGCTGGAAGATGAGAACTGGCGACTTTGTAGGACAACTTTAAGTACGCGGAGCAATCTGTGGCGCTGGAAGCTGAGAACTGGCGACGTTGTAGTACAACTTTAGTACGCGGAGCAATCTGTGGAGCTGGAAGACTTTAGTACGCGGAGTATCTGAGGAACTGGAAGATGAGAACTGGCGACTTTGTAGTACAACTGTAGTACGCGGAGCAATCTGTGGAGCTGGAAGCTCAGAACTGGCGACTTTGTAGTACAACTTTAGTGCGCGGAGTAGCTGTGGAGCTGGAAGCTGAGAACTGGCGAGTTTCTAGTACAACTTTAGTACGCGGAGTAGCTGTGGAGCTGGAAGCTGAGAACTGGCGACTTTGTAGTAAAACTTTAGTACACGGAGTATTTTCGGAGCTGGAAGATGAGAACTGGCGACTTTCTAGTACGACTTTAGTACGCGGAGTATCTGGGGAGCTGGAAGATGAGAACTGGCGACTTTGTAGTACAACTTTAGTACGCGGAGCAGTCGTTGGAGCTGGAAGCTGAGAACTGGCGACTTTGTAGTACAACTTTAGTACGCGGAGTATCTGGGAAGCTGGAAGATGAGAACTGGCGACTTTGTAGTACAACTTTAGTACGCAGAGTATTTGGGGAGCTGGAAGATGAGAACTGGCGACTTTGTAGTACAACTTTAGTGCGCGGAGCAATCTGTGGAGCTGGAAGATGAGAACTGGCGACTTTCTAGTACAACTTTAGTACACGGAGCAATCTGTGGAGCTGAATGTCGTTCACCCTCATTGAGCCATGTCATCTTTGTAGCCATCGAGGCCCAAATCTTTCAACTTTGCCTCGAAAACTGCAGAGGACTCCGTGAGTGTGGCCATGGCTTCAGCTTCACCTACCGCCTGACCTGTGCCTCGGAGCCACCACTTGACTGCGGCCGAATCACTTACTCACATTACTGCCAACCTGTCACTCTTGCAGCCTTCCACTTCAGCTCAAACTTGGCAAAGTTGACAAAACCGACTGTCCTACCGGCCTCTTTCACTCTCCCGTCAGTCCTGCTGCGGCGCACTTCCATCGACAGGACGTCCCCGTCCAACTTGACCTGATCCGGACTACCCGGGGTTCGGTCACTGCCGGGAACTACTCCCGTACAAGAAACACTTCTCACTTCGACTTGGACTAACTTTGCTTTTGCTGAATGTCTGACCACTCACTTATTGACTTCTATTGCACTTGACTAGAGCTCACCACCTTCAGCCGCTGCCTCTGGTCTTTTCACTTCGCTCAGTTACTTCAGGCCTTTACCTGACGTACCCTTCACACACTTTACATCTACTTCCCAGCCCATGCACCTCCTCGGTGAGCTTAAACATCACCGCCGAGATGGGACGGCCGCATGCCAACTTCCCTTCAACTGTACTGCCGTGATGAATGGTCCCCGTCATACCACGCCTACACAAATCCGTGTTGGATTTCTTCGGATGCCCAAGTCTACCGTGGACTACTGCTTCCAGGTTCCTCTCATCTTCACTTTCTTGGCCTTCATCCACCGTCTCCTCATCTTCACTTGATGATTGGTCAACGGTGACCAGGCACCTCGTGCATCTGGTGCCTCCCCACAAACCTTTGGTTCCTCGGTGCATCAGGTCGGAACTTCTTCTGCTGGATGTCGTTGATGATCCTGGTGAGGTACTCGAGGCCAGTAGCCAAGGCATCTCGGCTATACACTAGCACTGACTTGTCCTTGGGCTTGACATGATAACCCATCAGCCTCCGCACCCTCTCCGGGACCATATACTTTGCCATCCAGGACAATGTGGTGGCCTTGAGCGAGTGGGCTCCCACGTTGCTGAGTTGACCAGGTCCCAACGAGTACTTCCTCAGGATCTCACATAGCCAAACACTTGCCTCACCCTCCTCCAGGTACTGGTGTCGGTGAGAAAGGCCTGAGCTTCAACAGCTGCATTGCCCACACTGCACCTGTCACTCCAATCTCGGGGGCAACCACCGGCAGGATCCTGCACGCCCTGCCTGCTATCGAGTCTGTCTTGTGGGTGGATGTCCCACCCTCGAAGAAGCCCCCATCGACTTGCGGCTCTTGTTGGATGCCTTGGCTATCCCCAAACCTCAGCCGCCCATAAATGCAAACCAAGCAGTGCCCCGCAAAGACTCTATCTTGCATCGGGAAAGTCTGCTCGCGCACAACCCGCTCCAGGATTGAAACTTGGTGCACTGTCAGGGCGTCTCTCTGCTTCAACACCCTTTTGGTCAAGAAGCTCCTGTGGGCCGAACCAGAGATTCTCGTGCTCTTGAGGATGTCGTCGACTCCATCCAAATCGATGGCGCCTTTGCAGAATGCTAGTGCGCTCCTGAAACTACTTGCTCGGGTCGCCGGAGCCCCATCTTTTCTCAGCTGATCGACGTACTCGTAGCACAACTCCTCCTGCAACGGGAATGGTTTGTGCCCCTTAGCTCGTGCCCATCTGATGTATAACATCATGGCACTCAGCCGCACTTGCAAGGTGCCATTCTTCTTCTTTGCAAAGATGTCGTCAAGCACCTCCTCGCCATCTGCCTCAATCATACTTCTTGCCCTCGAGTGCCTGCCCGCCTCAGCTATCACTACCTGCCACCCTGTGAGCACTTTGTCACGTTCTTCTGCTTGGGCACGGTCCCATGGCATCCTTCCACTCTCCTTGAAGGCAAAGCTTGGCTTGATCTTGGGTGGCTCAAGTGACTGCGCTGCCGGCTCCACTTCGACTTTCATCGACTTGGCACTTCTCGTACTTTCTTTCAGGCACTCGAGGGGGAGAATCTCAACTTTCTGGTTCAAGACTGCACCTGCGAATCCTCTTTCCCAAGGCATCTGCAAGTGCTCGGGGATGAACTTCTTCAGCTTGTGCTGCTCATTTGGGATCATGCCATACTCGTCCCAATCGATCGCCTTCTCCTCCAAGGTGGGGACCGCTTTCGATGGCCCAGCCTGAGTTCCATCTATCATCCTCTTCAACCTCAGTAAGGGGCTGATGTCTTCCGTCTCCTCCTCGTGGGCCTCTGAGGAGTGCAAGGAGCAAACTTCTGTCGGAGAGCCAGATCTTCCGATCCTGTCAGCCCTCCTCATCGCCTCCACCTCCCAGACCCTCATAGCCAGCTCACCGAGGGGCTCGTCGATCTCCATGTGCCCCCCCGCGCCATCCCCCTCATCGGGGGCATCATCCATGGCCTCCCTCCACGTCCATGACGCACTTAAAAACGTGGGGGGGGCCACATGGACTTGTAGCCAAAATGGCCACCAGTGCACACCCACTGCTTCATGACACATTCATCCGTTATTGTTTCGTTTGTAAAAGACACTATTACTTTGTAACAGAATGCACAATATACAGTATTACAATATATACATTGTGATTCATATGTTCTCGTCTTGCTATCCATGGGCCGCCACACAGCCAAGACTCCAAGACCATCAAGATCACCAGCACCTCGAGCATGAAAACCCCAAAGCTCATGGATTCAACCTAAATGATTCTCTATACTCAAGTATAGTCGTTAACAAGAATGAACCGTTGTTTCGTGTTGTTTCTAATGTTCTGAGGGTTTTCACACGTGTTCACTATATACAGTAATTAATGTAATCAATCCAACGGGCATCGAGCGCCACAAAGTGCGGGTCCTTTCACACCTTTCGTGAAAAATCCAAGGAGCCAAATCCACAACCCACTCGATGTCTCGGAAGGCGGATGTCTTTTTCTCGTAAGCTCCAAAACGAATGGACAACTCAATGACAAAGAAGATGCAAAAAAGATTCTCCTCGGAATCATGCATGGTGTAGCAGTCTGGTCACTTGGCTTTGAACCTGATGCACCTGACCTGACACAAAGAATTGATCGTTGCAGGTTGCTGTTGAGGAAACATACAGAAAAAATCGGTTGGTTCATGTTGGTTCTCAATCATCCAGCTTTCAACATCATGAATGTAAGCAAGCATCGACAACCAGGAATATGGGATCCGTTTGAATCAGCACGTCGGAGTCGTTGAATGCAGCATCAATTCCCAGCCACACGGAGTTCAAAGCGATGGCCTTGGTTCAGCTCCTGCATGCACAAGCAACTCAGCAGCAGCTTGTCCAGGTAACCTATCCATGTTTATCACTAACGTTTGGAAATCAAGGTTCACAAGGAGACAATTGACAAAATCAAGTATGGGCGAGCGGCTAGCCTTCCAGTTCCACTAGACTAAGTCCATTAGGTTTCTCTTCTGACATGCATCCCCCAGATGACAACCCTCTGAGCCCTTGCACTGCGAATCAATTGGGGGCCGATGGCTACCCCAGTAAACGCTTCAGCGCAAGCTTCAAGAGGATGAAGTTGCAGGAGAGTCTGTTCACATTGTAAGATATTGTAAGATATGGCTGCTCTGGTAACGTTTGTCCGTGATTCGCACATACTCGCATATCTTTCAAGGTACGCTCATCACGACAATGTCGAACCAAGCATGCCTTGCAATTCGCCTCAGAAGCGGCACAAGTGTCAACAAAAGACATCTTCCCGTCAACATCGATTCAGCTTGAAACAACCTCTTTATTCATGTGGCAGCAAGAGTTGGCCTGCTTCTTCCCTATTTCCCCCATGTGCATCTCCGTCTTCATCTCCCCCTTCTTTCCACGTTCACCCTGTCCATCTATACCTCTCTCATCATCTCCCTTTCTCCAGTTTACTCTCACTCCGTTTCTTCCGATATTCATCAATTCCTGTTTGGCCTTTTACGCTTGGATACAGCGACAAGCTTTCTGGGCGGGCCACTGTGCTAAGCGGCTAAACAGCTAACATGCGAACCTGTCAGCCTGGCCTGGATCAACTTGAACTCTGAGACTAAGAAATGCTCTCATGAGAAAGGCGCAGGCAGTTTGAAGAAAAAAGCCAGCACCGCTGTCTTAGGTTGCTATATACACATAATATCAATCAACCACGTATGGATTACATATCTCAACTATGTATGTATATATATATATGGTACCTCCCGAGGCCCAGCATATTTGAATAAATTAAACTAAAACAAGGGGGTACCAAATCTATACATAACATATGTGCATTTATATATATATTATAGTTATATGTATTATCGTAACCCCCCCCCGCCCACAGATCTACCATTTAGATGTGTATTCAATACTTGTTCAATCCAAGGACTTCGTCTGTCACATGCCATATATCTATAATGTGCATATATACATTCACACACGAATCTTGTGCCGCACTGACACGGAAATAGTAATTAGAGCATTTTTTGTGACTAAATCCCACTGCAACGCATTTGAATTGGATTCAAGATTTTGGGAAAGAGTTTTGGAATCCCATACCAGGATCCTGGGCCCAGGATCTTGAATCCTGGGGCCTGGATTTTGGAGCAGTTCGAGAAAAGAATGCGCGTTGCAACGCGTTGCAATGTCAAGTCTTCACGGTGAAGCTGTCCTGCTCTAAATCTTGTTTGGTAGTCCTTGTGCCCTCATGACTCATTGCTCATTGCAAGTGTCCTTCCTCTATCATACAAAATGTCCTTTCTCATGCACAACACCCGTTCAAGAAAACCCTGTACAAGAGCTTGATTGAATAAGAGCTTCACTTATCGATGATTGCAGTTCCAAGTCCAAGATGGCACACTTTAAATAACCAACTTCCTTGTGCTATGTTATTTTGCAATCACATTGTGCTTGCAAAAACAAAAACGATTTGAGTTACCAGTTCTTCCCCTCTTTATTTTGTTCTTGTCATCCCGATATGTTTCATGTATGCTTTCTCTTTCTCATCTTCCATTTGTCAATGCGACTGCCTTGCGCTGAAACAGTTTTGTTGTTCACACTGTCTTGATCATTGATTGATTGTAGTTGGAAGTAGATTCTTGAAGGTTATTGCAAATCTACAATAACAAAACGAGCTAACCAAATGTTAAAGAACTGCTTGGCCACTACCCTTGGCCTGCAAGCATAGTCATAAGCGAATTCTAGCAATTTTACTCAATTTCGTGCAGAGCTTCTTTGCCGCTCTGGGTTAGTTTGTTCAATTGATTGATCGCTAATTAGCCTCTTGTTTTGATATTCATGTTGCCCCCGGCTTGTTGAAATGATTTGTACCACTGTTTATGCTTATTTCAGTGGCAAAGTCAGAAACAATTTTTTCAGTTGACATGGATACATAACGTAACAAAAGAGGTAAACAAAGCCAGAGAGGAGAATTTGTTAAGAGGAATATGGTGTAGAATGGAGCAAAGAAGAAACTTAGAGATTGAAATGTCAACCTAATCAATCGGCTTGAGACTACCACCCATTGTGAGTGAATTGATCTGTAGAGCGTGAAGGGAAAATGTGTCAAGTATTGTGAATTTTAACCCATCAGTAGAAAAGGAAAAGGCTGCCTAATTAATCAGCTTGAGACTTGCTCTCAGTCTCAGGAGAGGAGAATTGGCTAAGCGGGAAAATTGCCATGTAGAATAGGTAAAAATGGACAACCTCATGTAAAAAGCTTGAGATTGCCAGCACGTGCTTGCAAGTGAAACGATTTACATTGAAGGGAAAAATAAGTTTAAGAAAGTAGAACAAATAACCTGATTAATCAGTTTGAGATGGCTACAGTATTTTTTTCTGAAATTGTCTCGAACTCCCTGATCCCCCTTTTCAGTTTTTCTACAAATCTTGAATCTTGAACCCTCCAAAGTAAGCTTAAAATAGCTTTTTGGGGTCAGAAAAAAACGCCTGGGCCTAAGTAGAGGATTCAAGACCTCTTATGCTACTGCTGAATTGGAATCTTCTAAAGAATCGTACTTCTTGACAAGGCACCTGGGAAAAAAAAACCTATAACTTAAATGTTGAAACATTTGCTGGAATCGTACGTAGGATTGCATAGACTTTTCAAGAGAATCTTACTGTTGGATTCGGCTTGCAAATGCTTGCAGAGAGTGGGAGCTTGGACTGATTAATTAGGCAGGACTTGGAAACACTTGGAAACTTAGTTTTAGGGAGAACTGGTTCAAACTACTTCCTCCTGGAACCAACAACCAAGCTTGCTGGAAAGAATTGATCAGCCATGCAAAATGGTAGATCATTGGGGGGTGGACTAGCATATGTTTATGCATATATATATACAGTATATGGTACCCACCCACCCGCCCACCCACCCCCCAAAAGGAAACAAACAAAACAAACAACAGGTTGTTACCGTTTTCGCGGATTCGTCATTGTGGTGAACTTGAGGTACCGGGGTACCTATACAATATACATGTGTATACGCACTGTGTTTTGAAAGTATCCTATGTACTTAGAGAAAACCGAACCAGAAAAGTTTAACATATATATATATATGTATATATATATTATGTTTTTTTGGGGGGCAGTAAGAAGATTGCACAGAACTCTTGTAGGGAATCTTGCTTGCTGTACTTAGATAATTCCAGAAATTTAAAATATGTTAGTTGTTGGTGATGTAGGAAGTAAGAAGTAAGATTGCGCAGAACCCTCCTAGGGAATCGTGCTTCCTGTACTTAGAATTCCAGAATGGTTTCAAGTAGTAAGTTACAGTAGTTTCATCAGGATGCTTGCATTTCGACTGCAAGTAAATTCCTTTTGACAGGACGCCCTATCATGTCAAGAGCAAAGCCTTTAGAATCAGTTTCATGGAAATCACAGGGAACCCTATGATTTTGAGGGATGCTATGGTTACAGTAATGAAATCCTTCAATCTCAAAAGGAGTTCCTGTTGTTTGCAAAGAAGCTTTACGTTTATATAAGCAGTTCATTTGTTCATGTCTCATTCCAACAAGTGCATGTTTTCATATGTTTGACAAAATGTGTCACTTCAGTTAAACCCTTTAATCTAGGAGACATCTTTGAAGGAGGCACCAATCATTCAAAACGTGGCTCCTGGGGTAGCATGCATGTGTATATATATAGATATGTACACACATTAATTTTTATTAGGACTGTGACTATATAATGTGTATTTGTGTAGTTTATAAATAACTTTACAAATATATATAAATATTTATCAGAGACGTTTCCGTGAGCTGGCTGTTTCATCTGATCAGCCAAGAGTCTGAGCGCATCCTGTGCTATGGTAGAGATCGGCGACGTTGGTCGAACTGTCACGGGAATGGTGCCGATCAAGTGTGCATAAAGCATAAACAACCCCATGGCGTTTAAAGACCTCACAAACAATGTGGCCAATTGCAAAATCGGCCATATTCACGAGCCCTTCTTGCTCCAAACCAAATGCCTCGCCACTCTCTTTGGGCTACTACCAGTAGTAGCTAGTACACTTTGTGATGAGTAGTCAACAATGATTGTCACTCTGTAGTGACTGTAGTGAGCGTAAAATGAATTCAGCAATGATGACAACATTGCAAAACTTGGAATTCCATAAAATGTGCCCGACTTGGAATTCCGTTCGTGTCTTTAGTTCACAAATTCTCAATTGGTGTCCAAATCGCTTGCACGGGTTTGATCGATTGTGCACCCATGACCGCCCTGAAGTACGGACATGCTGAGATTTCATCAGCTGCCCCTGTGGGGTACAGTATAGCCCAAAAAGACTTTGGTTCGGAGATCGCCAAAAAAAACTTTGGTTAGGAATGAGCAAAGAAACCAATCAATCAAATCATTACAGTAGTTATTTGCGTTCGAATGCCTTTGGGCACTCCGGTAGTGCAGTGTCTGAAACTTGGGCCCTTGGAGGGTGCTACCCAACTGTCGTTGCTTCGTTGCGTTTCTTCTCATGCAGGTATCCCATGCCTTGATGCCAGCATATGCTGCAATCGCCGTTTCATGTCGAGCACCTCATTGGCAGCTTCTGTGCTCTTTAAACATTTGTTTTTGTTTGGTAAGTTGAAACATATTGCTGCAATGTTAAGTCAAAGCGAACACTCGTGATCAGCGGGTCAAATAAAAGCATCTATTTCAGGAATGGTACTCCTGATCTCCGGCGCACCCCGTGCTGCCCATCTTCTCCATGGTCCTGCTACGGATTCATTTGTTCGGTTTGCACTTCCACATGCTTTCCAAAAGCAAATAGCATGGTCAACTACTGTAGAATCTAGAAACCTCTGCTGCTATGCAATAGCAATTCCAAGTATATACATATATCAATTCAATACACTGTATCCACTATGCAATACAATGCAGCATGTTCATTTGTGAATGCAAAGCTTCTTCTTGATTGCTGTGACTATTCCATTTCATTACCGCAACCCCTCCTCCTCGGATTCCGAGGTGTCCTGCAAAATCAATGACAATCCCCCCTGTGGTTCCCAGCACTAGTGGGACCGGTCTGTTCACCTGTGTCACTTCTAATATTCAAGTCAAAAGTCACAAAATCCAGGATCAGGTAACCCACTGAAAGTCCACAAGTCAAACAAAATCTGCCTCTGAGTCTGAACGGAAAATGACACCATCGTCAAAGGGTTGATTCGGCAGCTTGATTTCTTGGACCAGATCGCCTCCGCAGTGAAAAGCTACGCACAAAAAATACAAACGTTTTGCCGACGCTACCACAATCTTAGAAGATCTTAGAAGCCAGTTGCGCAACTCTTCTGTTCAGGCAGTCTTCATCCGAATCCATGCAGAAAAACTGCTGCACCGAAGAACAAACCAGAAATAGTAAGAGAGCTGCAAAAGAAAACTATATATTGATACTATTGCACAACTAAAATAAAGTGGCAATAAAAAAACTCTCAACCAAAACATCTATATAAGTTGATCCCTCGTGTTTAAAGGAAACAAAAAGAACAGCTCAAATCAAGGGTTGTGTTCAGTATAAGGGTTTTTATGACCAAAGCACCTCGGTACCGCAAAAATTGTCAATTGTCACGTGAAGTTACCAATTTGTCTTACAACACTGTGATGACCAGCACCATCCTACTTGAGAATCTTGTGAGGTAACTTGAATGAAATTTCATGCGCAGTTCGTTTTCCTGCGATGTTTGTCACGCTCGAAGTGGCCTCGTGCAACTGGCATCGAGAACGCATTCCTGCAAGCCAAAGGTGACCAACAGAACTATGCCACACTCAAGTTGATAATCTAAGTGTACTTGTTGGACCGGTCCAGATACCAAAAGACGACAGTTTGGGTTCTCAAGCATGTTCTGATTTACGTGTGTGGTGTTGGCCTTAGTGAGCCAAGCTGCTTTGAGGCCGATAATGTGGACAGGGAAGTTGAAGCTGCCTAGGGTGGACATTGTCACGAGCCAGAAAACCAAAAACTCGTGTTCGGGTTTGTTGCTTGAATTCTATTGAATTCTTGTGTTCATCCGCCTGAGCCTCGAAGGCCTCTTTGGGTGAACGCTGAGATGCTGCCCTGAAGGCGGCGCCGAGCCAAGCAGAGCCCTATCTGAGCTTCTAGTGATCACAAGGGCTTGAATGGATCACACTTGAAAAGTGTTCCAAAGCTATGCTCAAACATGGTGGTCAGGGCCACCAAAACCAAATACCAAAACCAAATTCATGTTGAGTAGAAATGAAGACTTCAACGTCTCTGCTGATATCACCATGTGTCTCCAAACATCAATCCAAAACAGCAACGGGGAAAAGCGCTCTCCACCACTTTTCTCAGAGTGGTGGCAATGTCTGTGTTTACAGGTCTGTCTGTCTACCACCCTGTTCCAGGACTTCGCCTGGGGTACACTGGGTGGCATTCGCAAAAACGCCATACTGAGCCTGTAAAGCAGACAGACACCGGGCGTCCATCAAGGACCCATGGGTGCCATGATGAAGCTACTGGGGTCGTTCACGCTAGTAAATCAGAGTACGGCCTTGAGGACCCAGTTCATCAGAGTGAAGTCGGAGAGGATGGCCCTCGCATCCAGGTAGTACTCAGGGTCAAAGCCCATTCATTTTGGATGGGTGAGTTCATCCGCCCATTGATTGAGATCACGTTTGACATGGCTGGGGGCGAGCTGCGCCCCTCCTTTGTGAAGGGTCAGGACGAGCTGCATCATGATGACAGCTGTAGGCATCTGTCGGGTTTCGTTGTTAAGCATGCTGAAAACGTTCCCCTGGTTGTCCGTGATGACTGGGATCTTGACCGCCAGTTGGTGACGTTGCCCCATCCTGAGGATACAGGCAACGAGGATGAGTGAGCCAAGGAGTTCAAGCGCTGGAATCATAGCGCTCGCAGCCTTGGACTTGAAGAGCCACGGAAAGGCTGTTTCCGTGAGGTGGAGATGAAACCAGTACACTGTCCGTTTCGATGGAGTGAGTTCAGGAGAGAGCCATCCCCCAATGTAGAACTCTTTCTGTGTGGTGGCACTGGCATCACGGAGACCGCGGAGCGAAGGGTGTTGGTCGAATATAAGCTTCCTGGACAAGTTTGAGCATGTGGGCAAATAATTACTCGAATGAGATGGTTTGGTTTGCCCGAGGATCTGACGGCACCCTTCCACTGCCACAGAGGCTGGAGAAGGGGTTTGGTCAAGGGGCAGGCGCTGGTGGCCCATTGGAGTCGGCCCATGCCTTTCTCAATGTCCTTCAGGGTGAAGGTCTCGCCCGACGCAAGTTTGTCGAGGAGGTGAAGAACAAGGGTATGCTTATCTTTGGCCATTTGTGCAATGGGGCCTCCCGGATCTATCACGAAGCCCAGCCAAGTGTTGATTGGGCTGAGGAGGGTCTTCTTCCAACTCAAGGGGGTGGCGAGGGAGAGGAGCACCACCAGTAGAGCGGTGGAGTGTTCCACTGCCAGTGAGCTCCATATATAAGCCATGCGAAATCATCAACAAATATGAACCCCCAGTCAATGTCCGGGAAAACTGCATAGATGATCCTGAGGAGTAGCGCCGCCACCCGGCCCCAATACAGTCGGGCGCTAGCCATTCCATAGGTGCCCACCATGTTGACCCACTATTCATCACCAATGTGAGCAATCTGGTACTTCCAATCTTGGGGTTGGATTTTGATCCGTCTATGTGCCTTGGTGACATCGGCTTTGAGGAGAAGGCCAGGACCATCCCAACTCGCCCGCCGGGGTATCAGGGCATGAAGCGCCTGCCCGTTCGGGCTGAGAGACCTTAGAGGCAGCCTTCAGCCAGTGTAGACAATGGACGCAGTCCATCACCGTAGGTGCCGCAGTACACTCCTCCGTGTTCCGGATGTGGGCATACGATAATCAATCTTAGTTATAAGTAAGTTATAACTTTAGTTAGGGAACTACAAGTAAACTTGTATTTCGATAACATAACTTGTATTAGGATAAGTATGTATAACTATAGTTATACTTAAGGAACTTAAACATAAAGTTATAATTTAGTAAGGCTGGAACAAGTTAGATGTAAGTAATTCATAAGTAAACCGGGTGTAGTTAGGTCAAAGTTATAACTTAGTTAGGTCTTAGTTATACATGTCATAGTTACAAAACTGAGTTTCACCAAAAAACATTGCGCAGTTTTTGGATCAAGTGTGCCGGATATATAGGTTTGAGGCATGTCGACCGTTACGGAGTCAATGGCGAAGACACGCGCTTCGATAGTTTCTTGATGGCGGCAGATTGGACACATCTGAGCCGTTGTGGCACGCAGAGGGACATGTGTGCGGCGCTGTCCCAGCTTCTCTATCAGAGGTTGGACTTACGCCCTGCCTAGCGAGCAGACGTATGCCAGCATGGTGTCTTTTGTATCCTGCGTGGATCAATCCAGAAGCTCCAGACCTGACCCCAGCTGGGCAATGCATGTTTTGCTGCAAGAGGTGAAATCATCTTGGAAGGGTGTGCAATCCCGCTTGAAGAAGTGGCGACCAGAACCAGAGCGCTTGCTGGAGACTCTGCCCGCTACTTTTGATGAGCTCCCTGAAGTCATCAAGGGAAATATGGGTTGGAGCGACCGGCAGAGAGCGAAGCCAGACCAGTGTCTGCGTCGACGCTGGCGGCACACACATGCTTCGCAAGTGCGTCTGCGAAACACCAATGCCAACCACGCGCAGAATCCTCGCCAAATGGCGGCAGTGTCTTCGCAATCGATGATGGGAGCTGTGGGTAACGTGGCCATGCAGCTGCTGCAGTTACAGCAGCTGCAAGCCGCCTCCGTTGCAGCCTTGCCGAACTTGCAAGTATTTACAGAGAACCTGCGAGGGGGAACGGGACACCACTCACAGACTCCTCCGTCGCGCGCGGAGGCGCCTGCCCAGAGCCCACAGTCCAAGAGGCCATTGAAAGCTCTGATGGATAGCCCTTGGAATGAGAGCAAGCAGGAGAGGCAGAAGATGTCTGATAACAAGGCGCCCGCTCCTGCGCAGGAGGAGCGCGCGAAAGAGGATGCATCGACCGACCGGTTGCGTGTGGCGATCCTGCGCATGACATGGGGGAACCCTCCCACGCGACGAAGCAAGCCGCGCGTGATGCAACGACCTTGGAGGCCAAACGAGAGGAGAAGGGGCCTTCAGAACCTCAGACCACCGTTCCTGGAGGTGACTCTGCTGTGGATCCCGCGCGTCGAACGTGTGCTGTGATGCAGCGACCGGCAGCAAGTCCGGCGACAAAGGTCTGCAAACCTGCCAAGAAGCCTGCGTCCGCAGTTCCTGAAGCAAAGAAGCCCAATCTTTCTTTTGATGCAAAGCGATGGGGGAGTTGCCGCGCCGAGTACTCCAGGGAGAAGAGCTACATTCGCTGTTGGGACAGCAGAGATGCCAAATGGCGAATGATCATTGGCTCCACCTCCGCGGACGGAAAACACGTTGAGATCTGTGAGAAGTTGGTTCCCTATGTGAAGCAGGGAAAAGATAGGGATGAACTCCAGCGCTTGCGCGCAAAACTGGAGTGAGCTTTACTTTGACCAGACACGCTGCTTCCGATAGAAAAGAATAGCGTCTCTAAACTTTGAATATATAGATCTAAAAGAAATATGTTTGTGATCCACGCACGTGTGCGTGTTCGATAACTTGATTGGATAGACTCTGGCTGCTTATATGTCAAGGAGTGATCAAATGTAAGACCGTCTTCTAACGCTTGCTTGCGCTCATGAATGTGGACCTTGAGACATATGAGTTGCACCTGGAAGTGGTGGAACATAGGGTTGCGGACGAGATTCGCCACAGTGGAGACGAGCAAGTGAAGCAGACTTGTCTTTTGCACCAAAGGGTTTTGCAGGCTTGTGGTCATCACTGGGCCACCCAACCGCTACTGCTGTTCTTCATCGCTTGTTACAAAGTGATGACCCCGGAACCGAGGGGCGTTCTAGATCAGCCAGGCTTGACGGTGGAGCCACTGCCTTTTACGGCGCTTAGAGATCTATTGCCTGGCTGCCAAATGGACCTGCTTGACATGCTAGACGTTGGCATTCCACTGCTGGAACATTTGATGGAAGAGTCACAACTGCGGATCACTAGAGATGTTTTGCGCGATGTTTGTTTTAGGTTGGTCAGCGTCAAGAACTGTCTGAGGTCTTGACAAATCTTTGTAACCACCGCGCAGATAGAAAAAGAACAAGATGGAGCCCACGAACCCGAATGCAAACACATATGTCAATCCACTGTGTATAGAAAGAGACACAGCCGGTTCGATTATCTTTTTCACACTCCGGTACGCTGTTGGACATCATGCGCTGGGGACTCCACCACCAAGGCAGCATGTGCTGGGGACTTCACCACCAAGCTCCGTCTTCGTCATGAAGGGTCTTCGTTTTGCATTCAAATCAAGCACTGGCGTAAAGGTTCTGGCAGATCCACATCACGAAAGAAACAATGGCATTGTCCCAAAATCTCGAAAATAAGCGCTTGAAAATGATAACCGTCCACATAATACAGAGAAATCCACAACTGCGGCGTCTGATCTTCTTGTAAATACGAGTGCAAGACCGTGCGTTGTTGTGTTTCACCTGCATCAACAAGAAGTATATGAGACACACACCACGGAAGTGAGTAAAACTATCCTATAGGTCATGTCATTAGTCCAACATTGGCATCGGTCTTTTGCAAACACGAGTCAGAAAGGAGAAGAATTACAAATCGAAACGTTTTTGGATGTGTCACCAGGGCCTTTATTAGCAGACGTCTGGGTCCAAGTATCACCAGATGTGGTAGCGCGTCCAGATCAGCAGGGTTTAGATCAGAGGGGGTTTGTATTTTGGTAAGGAAAAACAACATAAGACCTTAGTATAGAACAAATTGAATTACAACTAGTTTGTTTTGTATGGGATATGTATATTCAGACCTTGCTAGTGCATAGTATGTTTTTTTGAGGTTGCATTTCAGTGTGTTCAAAAATGTTCAACAAAGTTTCAAGCTTCAGCATCTTCAAGCACTCTTTTTCCCTGAGGCAGGGTTAGGCATTCCGTTCCCCAAGCAGTCTCAGTCAGCAACACAGCTCCTGGCACAAAG